TCATGGCATTTTGGGGTCCACTTCAAGAATATGCTGCCTTCAGTATGAGCCCTCAGTTAGACCTGAAAGCCAACTAGTGCTCTAGGACTAGCTCCAAGGCACAGCCCATGAAATTGGCTTTTCCTGCATGTGCCACTGTTGAATTTGTAGACTACCGGATTCCTCATGTGAGGATTGAAATCCTTGTCTTGTGAAATGCAGTGTACAAAACAAGCAGAAGGCAGGTGCTTGAATGAATTTTGTCCCAGCCAAAGGGAATGGATTGTGGAATGGATTGTGCTGTGCAGTGACATGAGTGGCCCAGGCTTTGATTTACTCCCAAAAGTAGAAGGCAAAAATATTATCCCTAAATGTATGATTTAGGAACATGCACATCAGGAACTGAAAGCAAAAAGAAATCGGGCGGGTTGTTTAATATGTATATACGACCCCACTGTGCTGAGAGAATGAGGTAGTCTGCAGCCCCAGTGTCTGGTGGCAGCGAGTGGGTCTGACATTGTTAGATCTGGCAGGGATTCAGACATCTGCCAGGGGATGGGGGATTTTGTTAGGAGAAGTGGGAGAGAGAGGAGCGGGAGAGACGCAAGGAAGCTCGGGGAGGCTTGCAGCTTTATATATACACGCCTGGATAACACTTCCTCTTTAAAATTCCCTTACTAAGCTCGGCTCCTATATTTTATATTCAGCACGAAGGTTCCCGCCCCCCCTCCAGCCCTCCCCACCCACCACCACCCTCTCTCCCTTTAACTTGTTAAGTTTGAAAGATGATATATACACACAGTTTGCTTTGCCAGTCAGCCCGTTTAAGGCCAAGATTAATGCAGTGCATTGGTGCAATCGTGCCGCAGTGGTGCGTGATCGGAATACAAGATGGAATATAGGGGGAAAGGCCAGAAATGTGCCTGTATTCTGAGTTTACACAAGTCTCCTTAGCAACTTGTCTGATTTTTTGGTGTCTTTTTTTTCATGTCAGGGAGGAGGGGGGGGGTGTCTGTGTGTGCACAGGGAGCGTTGTCCCAAATCACCAGTGAATAAAACATTCCCTGAGTTTTTAAATCGCTCCAATTGATGCTCTTGTTGTTGTTTTTCCTTCTCCTTTTCCTTTTGTTACATTAGTGGCTTATTTTTCCATCTCTTTTTTTTTTTTTATCCCTGGAAGGAGGAGGGTACAGGGGGGAGACTCCAAAAGGGATGGCAGAGGGGGCTGGGGGTGGGGGCACCGTACTAGTTTTCATTGTGACTTCTAGAGAGTTGGTTGCTTTCCAGTTGTTCCCATCTCAGCATGTGGAATTATTGTGCTTTCTCCCGATTTGCCACAGAGTTGGCAGCAGGCTGACATTGTTAGTCATTTGAATTGTATTTGGCTCTGGGCTCATTTTTTTTATTATCCCCCCCCCCCCATCCCCTCCCCCAAATTTATTTATTTTAAAACAATTTATTTTGAAAATATGCACGATGTATATTTTATAGTCTATAAAATGGAGGAAAAGAGAGGGGAAAAAAGAGGGTGAGAGGATTGTGGCACCACTGTCCCCCGAAACCGTCCCGTTATTCCCCTCCCCGTACAGTTCCTTTTTAGTTGCCTACTGAAGAACCCCCCTCCCTCCGCATAGGAGGGAGTGGCCTTTTAGTGATCAAGGTACGTTGGATTATTACTTCTTTTTCCCACTTTATGTGATACTTTATTAATAGCGTGGGGCAAGAGAGAAGGATGGGGAGAGCAGGGGAGGAGGTGACGGCGGGTGGAGAGAGAGGAAAGAGTTCTCCTCGAAGTACTGTACCTTGAAATAACTCAAGGGGAAATAGTTGCTGCCTCACTTGAGTCGCTTTCAGGATCTCGCTGTGCGCTTTTACTTTTTCTTTGACTTCTATTTTTTATTTTTTTATTTTTTTTTTTACAGTTTTGTGGGGGGAGGGGGGAAAAAAAAAAAAAAGAAAAAGAATAAAGAAAAAAAAGTAGAAAAAAAAAGAAACTGAGCCAAAAAAATTTTGAAGGCTTGATCTTGGCTGCTATACAAACAGATGTTGCCTGTCATTCCGTTGTTAAGCAGGCAGCAGATTGGAGCAAGCAGCAGCAGTTTAGGGGAAACTGCAGCAGAACTGGAAAGTGGAAGATGTACATATATATATATATATTTCTTTTTATTCTACACACAAGTATTTTTCCCTGGAATTATTTAATTACAACACCGCTATTTTCAATATTTTTAATTCAGTTTTTTAATTTTTTTTTTTTTTTTTTTTGAAGTGGGCAAACCAAATCCAAACCAAACTGGAAAAGCACTAGGAACTTTCACCCAAATTTTACCAAAGCAGCTACCTTTTGGGTTGGGTTTGTGAGCTTTTCAGTTGGCTTTTTTTTGTTCTTTTTCACATAGGCGAGCATGTGTAGGAAAGGGGGTTCTGTTGGAAATGCTTAAGGTATTCTCGGTAAGTGAATCTTTGCAATGAATCAGGTCAGGGATTTTGTTGTTTTTCTTGCTGCTAGCCCTGTTTCGGTTGGGTTTGGCCCGGACTTCTCGCTGTACGTGGAATTGTGACGGTTGAAGGCCTTTCTGTCGCCTTTCCAAGTTTTAGCAATGTTGTAAGAACAAGAATCACGTTGTTTATACAGTAGAAGTTCTAACGAAGCCCCGATACGCTCCATATTGTGGCTCTTTTGTGTTCTGCATGTGCTTGTGGGTTTAATTCCCTGTTCTCTTTATGCTCTGGGTTCTTATTCCCCCCTTTATTTTTAATTTCTGCTTTCTGGTTTAGTTGCAGTGATTGGGAAGAGGGAGAAAAGAGCAAAACACGGGGAGCTTTGAGCCGAAAGAGTTAAAAGTTTCTTGGCACAAGAGCCGCAGTTTAGCAACAGATCAATTCATTTAAATGAAAGAAATCACAGACCAAGCCATCTGATTTTGAAATTTCACATCTTATGCTTCCACTTTAGAACAAAGCTTCTGTTTTTCCTTCCCCTTTATTAATTCACGCTGCTTTTGTTTAAGACCGTTGGTGTTCATAGAAACTATAAGTCTCTCTTTTTCTCCTAAAATATGAAATGGGGGGTGTGCATTCATCTTCTGTTAGTTAAAGTTAGCTCTGCTGTAAAGTCAGCCGTAAACCTCTGCACATGTAACAGCTGGTGTCAGGGCTGTTTTCACCCTCGATTATTGTATGTTTGAAACAGCTTCCATTTTCTGGCTTGCAGGCTGTATAAACAGTCACCTATGTACTGTGAAAACTAGTCGTCCCCAGCCATTCTGACTACCCTGGGTGCATTACAGATGCACGTAGGTCTGTCTGCACAGGGAGCTCAAGGAGCCATGCCCGAGTGGGAATTTTCTTTACACAAATAGGAAGTACATGTCCCTCCAACATCTGTATCAAGACATAGTCGTTCAGACTGACTCTGTGTGTGTTTCAATGGAGGAGTTATATCATTCTATAGATGTATACTGAGCGTAAGCCACCATAACGCTTTGAATAGCTAAAGTCTGAGAAGGATCACAAACAACTTTCTGTTGCCGTTCGTTCATTTAAATGCAGTTGAGCCTTGGTACCCGTCCCAATAGTTTTGTTGCTACATCAAGTAAAACAAAATAAATCAACTCATATATAGAGAAGTTGGTGGTTTTGTTTTTTTTTTTGGAAAAAATTAATCTACTCCCACCTTTTCCTTTTACACAATTTCAAAGCAAAAATGAAAATGAGTCGCTTACGATAAATGAACGTGTTTGATGAAAGGATTCGCAGCCGGGGACTGAATTTTGATAGAAGCTTTTGCGCCGTGATGCCGAGTCTCTTCACGGTGGCATTGCGTCAAAAGAAAGGCCGGGATATTTGGGCATGGGTGAACTCCTATCAGAGGGAAGCAGCGAAAGGGTGGGGTAGGAGTCCATGTGCGGGGGGGGGGAATCCTTTTGTTAGGCTGCTCCCCAACCTCTGCTTCCCTGCACCCCCTGGAAGAAATCCTCAATGAGCAAGAATAGTCTTAAGCCGCAGAAAGTGGATTTAGAAAATAGGTGGTGGGGGGCAGAGGTATCAACCTCCACCTCTAACGTGACTACGGTTTCTCGTAGGTCTGGCTGGTTTTATTATTCCCTTCTCTTACACTAAGATCCCAACTGTGTTGTAGGCAAATGCCAGGATTCCGAGCGTGAGTCCGTCCCCCCCAATACTGGAAATATTTCTGTGGGTGTCGTTGTGGTTACATCACAGCGCGCTCCTTCCTCATCTCCATTCTTGTGCTAAATTCAAATAGTTCCCCCCCCTCCCCGATAGCAGCTGTGCATGGTTTTTTAAGTCGGTCTTTAACGTTGCGAAAGGAACAATAAAATGAAAGGCAAAACCGGCATCTTAAAACTTGGCAAGTGAAAGCAGCTTGGACTGGCAGCCAAGAATCCTGCTGTGGTGCAAAAAGAATAGCATCCACGAAGCCACCACAATCCGGGGTTTCTCTTCTTTTAACAATCGCATCGGCAGAGAGAAATAATTATTCCTTGTATCAGTGTTAAAAGAGTCAAAAAGCTTAAAATGCTTGCTTGGTGAACCTTCTCAAAAGCAGGTAACGATCCTCCTATTTGATTCTGTTTTATCAAACTTTAATTGGATAGGGATCTATCTATGATAACTAATCAGTTTAAGAAGTTGATGCGTGTTACTAACTAGCAGGGAATGCATTTGCTGTTGCAACCTCCACGTTGCTTTCTTTTGCTTTATCGCTTTGGTGGTAATAGTATTGGCAAACTTCTTTAATGCTTGTGTTACAAAAAATGCTTTATTTCCACAGATTTAACTCACTGTGTGGGGGAGGGAGTGGGTAGTTCCAAGGTGTAACACAGAAAATAACCTTAAAAAAGACTTGAATTGGGATATCAGGAGAGGGGAGTAATGTCTCTCTTAGGACCTTGCCTGCTCCTTTTGCTTCTAAAGCTGAAGCCTCTGGGTATATTAAAGGTAGAATCCACTGCTTGAAAATATGCCATGAAAATGTCCCTGAATATTTTGTCTTCCAGAATACGTTCCTTGAAGAGTTGGGCCTAGCAATATGGCAGCGCACATTCGATAAGAAATCTTGTAAAATGCTGCTCCTGAGGTAATTTGGTTTCTTGTGCCTTCTCCAGTCACTATCTTCCTTTGCCTTATAATTCCTTAAAATTGTTTGAAGTACAGAAATCTATTGATGCGGGTCTTTAAACTTAAGAGAGAGCATGTGTGTGTTACATACATATCTATCTATATATATCTATATATTTACAGGCCTAAATAGATTTGGGTTAAAAATGGGGGGAAGGACTGGGGGAAAAGAATGGGACTTATTTAGCAGTCGTGTTTCTTATTTGCCTTATTTTTGTGGCAGAAGTATGAAATGGCTGCAAACAGCTTTTTACTCAGGCACACAATGCATTCCATAATGATCAATTTTCCTGGACAGGGTATTTATGCTTTGTGGTTTGCAAGAATACCACCCACAGACCTAAACGAATGTTACGTCTTTAGAGACTTTATTTCTACATGTTTCCTTCTGTATTCCTTTGCCTATAAATCTATAAAACACCAGACTGGGTTAATGCTAACAAAAGTGTATTACTTTTTGGCTGTCCCAGGTTCTAGTACCAAAGCCTTGTTGATCCTGTGATCATTGACATATTATAAAATTAATAGTGAAGCAAAGTATGCAGAGTAGAAGGCTATCGTGATCCTTAATATAAATAATACGATCCTTAATGTGGAGGTTGAAACTTTTTGTTTGTAATCTTAATGTTCTAAACAAATCCAGTGTGAAGATGATTATTTGTTTGTCTATCATGGATTTTCTGCCACTGTGTGTATGTTCATCAGGTTTTCAAAAGGTACAATAGCTGTATGATTAATCAATGTAGGGAAATGTTTCAGACCCCAGATCTTGTATAATCTATGGCTCTCATTCAATGTCCCTGAATATATCTGATCTAAGCAAAATTCATCTTTAAAAAAGCAGTGTTCATTAACAAAACTGTGTTCATTTGCTGCTGCCTTTATCAGTTCACTGTCTCAAAACCTGTCCATGAGTGTGTTTTCCCAAATGTATGAAAAGGAGTAGGCTGGTTCCTGGATATGTGTAATTTACAGCATACAGGTGCCACTAAATGCAATCTCTGTGCCACCGAGCTGCCTGGCTCCGGGGCTCACAGGAATGCAGAAGTGGTCGATCAGATTTATAGTGGGGACCTGCCTGAGTGATTTATTTGGCATACATAGGTGCTTTTCTAGAGAGGGCTGTTGCTGTTTTCTCCTTTTCTCTCATTCCTTTTTTAACAAGTGGAGCTATGGCGATGGATCCTAACACTAGTTCTTCCCTTTTGTTTTGTAAAAGCCAATCAGGTAGCAAGGGAGTAGGAGATGGTTGGCCAGATCCGTAGCAGAGATCAGCCTTCATTTAGGCAACTAAATAGAGGGTGTATTTGCTGTGTGGGTCAACACCTAACAGCTGCCCTTAGGAGCATGTGGTGAGCTCTTGGAAGGTCAGGGTTGGTTCTGTCTCTGACAAGAGCTGAGATAATTCACTACTAAAGAGCAGTTGCTGAAGTACATTGGGTGCCTGCAGCTTCCATTCAGACCAGTCAGAATTGAGGACACGTGTCCTGTACCACAAGGAGGTATGTACAGGCCACCCAAATGTTACATCTTGGTTTCCTTCATGGACTTGAACTATCCCAGTGGTTAGAAAATGAGACTGTGAGCTATTAAGTGGGGGAAAGAAAGTTTTTGAACTAGGAAAACCTAGTAAAAATTTAACTTCCACATAGTACGTGTACTTCAGTGCAGTCATTACTTTTTTTCCTGTCTTTTATGCGTAAAATAAAGTATTTCTTTGCCAGCAGAGACATGCAAATGAGCTTACCTTCATATACATACATTAATGTAAAGAATATTAGGATCAAAATGAATATACTCGTGAAGAAAATACTCTTATGCAGTATTGCATTCTAGCATGGGGGTGACATGCAAATGTCTGATGGTAAAATCGCTTGCCATTGTAAGAAATACTGGTATATGCAGCAGCAATGTTACTGACTCCTAATACTGTGCCAATTAGGCCCTGTTAGACGAGTCAAAAGACAATCTGAATTTGAATCTTAGGTTCCCTGAAATAAATGAGCTTTGTAGTGGGAGGGCTTGGGTTATTTTTGGTAGGGTAACATTTGTTATATTCCGTTTGCAGTTCGGTTCCAAAGCAGTGCACAATACGTGTATTTGTGCATGATGTGACTCTGTTCTGTCTGCAGGACCACGTGCTCCCTGACCCATTGCCTTGACCGCTGCACAATTATTGCAGGGCTAGAGCTTGCTGAATTCTGGGTGCTGCTAAATTGCATTTAGGCTCCAACATAAGAGTTGTCCTGATTTTTTCAAAGACCCCGAATCCCTGCAGCTCCCGTTCTTGGCACGAATTTTGAGTCCTGAAAACTTTGGAAAGCTGGACACTTTTAAGGTAGGTATTGGAGTATAAGCGTAGGAATCTAAACTTAGATGATCAATTTAGATAACCTTTGGACAGATGGAAAAAGTTTAACATCTCTATTGCTGGATGGAACAGGAGTTTCTTGTAACCCAGCGCAAGCAGTAATTCCAATAAAGGAAAATTGTATTTTTTAATTGCAAGCTTACCAGGCTGGAAAGGTTGAAGTGATTTATTTTAAGAACCTCCACATGAAGTGGGAGAACTTTCTAAAAGCATCCACATAGCAAAATTATTTTCCAAGTGTTTCATTTTATAGCGAATAATATTAGCTCTCATGAATATAGTTTATCTTCTGGAGAAAGAGAAGAGGTAGAAAGTGGAACACTTGAAGCCACAATCTCAGCCTCTGATTTTGTTCACCGCTTCTATGCGGAGGCTTACAGCCAGCCTGCTTTTCATCCTAATTCCCCACCAGTTGCCCACCCAATAAGATTTCATTAATGGGAAATGTTAGTTACACAGGAAAGAAAACTTGGAAACTCTGGGGGAAGGAGGGGACGCTTCTTGCTCGCAGTGGCAAAACTTTGCTCCACAACTGCTTTTTAAGACTTAGTAGAAAAAGCCTAAGGGAGTTTTGCATTTGTCTCTCTCATTTTAGGGAGAAAGGCAGTGAGAGAGCAGAGAGCTGGAGTGAGAGGAAAGTTTTGTATTGTTTAGCAGAGTGAAAGGGTTATTTTTCTTTTAAAACAGAATTAAAATAGAACCCCACACCAGCAATGACTTCTCTGGAAGTTAAAGCAACTCTTTGCAGTTGTTTTCTCCCGTCTGTTTTAACGGGGCTGCCAGAATGGAAACAAGATAACTTTTTGCAGGGTGAGGGTATGCCTGTCTATTGCAAATCTTTCTCCAAACAAAAAGCTTGGCTGTTTGATAGTTTGCTTCACTGTCAGCGCTGTACCTCCAATGTTGGCTGTTAATTCTCCATTGCTGTGCAATCATCGGTAACTCTCTCCAGCAAAGTACTTGCGAGACAGAAACACAGATTTGCTTTATTTTCTTTACTTGAAAATTTGCTTTATTTTGCTGATTTTTCTCAAAAAAAAAAAACCATGGGAGTGATGGAAACTTTAGTAAAGTCAGTAAGAAACTCTTCCCCCCCCCAATTCCTCCAAAGGAGGGGTTTTAAGGTGCTGAGGAGAATGAAGGCTCCTACTTGCTAACAGCTCTGAAATTTCATTTGCAGAAATGGTTTTCCTCTTTAAATACCAAACCAACCCCCCCAAACCTAGCAAATTGCAGAAGAGACCCCTGCCTGTTGCCGCAAACCCGTAGATCCGAACTTGTGGTCATATTCCACACAAGCTTGTATCTATAGGTATGTGTCTGTCTGGCAAGTGCACAAAGGGTTGTGTTTATGCATTTAAACTGACAACGATCAACTCTGCTGTTTGTACCTTTTGTCTAATGCCTTCTTCCCTCCTCCCTTCTCTTTTTTGTTTGTTTTTTTAAAGAAATATAAAATTAGAGCTGCAAATCTTGTTCTGCAATTGTCGTATCAGTTTTCAGCTTTGGTTGGTGTTAAAATACACTCAGCAAAACAGCAACTCATTTGTGCCCGAGTAAAATGGGACGGGGGAGTTATTTGACATCAGAGTGAGGGAATTAAGTCTCAGCTCTGTTATGCATAGGTCTGGCTATGGGGATACGGTAGGAAGTGTTCTTCTGCTGTCTAATTCCAAGGGTGTTGGGAAGCAGATAAAACTGGTTCATTTATAAAGTAACGTGGATCCATTCTTTCTTTGCATAGCGGTGGCAATTTGTTTGTGAGAGGAACAGACGCTTCTGTTCGCCTTTATATCAAGGAACTTTGAATCACTGCATATACTGCCGTCTTGCAGCCCTGTAACAGAGGAAGGCATTGGCCCTCCAACTCCTATTCTCTCTCAAAAAGTAGTTTCCTTTACAATCCCATTCCTTCCAATTTCATGGTATTAATGTCTTTTTAAATAGTTTTGAAGGGAAAATAATCATGCTGTACACTCCAAAGAAGAGGTAGGGCAGGAAGAAAACTCGCCATGGAAGCAGGCAGTATAAAACCTCCTGTGTAAAACAAGCATTTTTAACTTGTGAAAGTGGAACAATTACTTTTGAAGTCTTTTTTTTTTCCTTAAATCCAAATATACAGATTCTATTTGAAAATAATTCAGCTGTAAACTCAAAATAAAGTCTGACTCTTTCTTTCCAGCAGCTTCCAGTGTTAATTCTACCCAAGATTTGGTCTGCATTTCCACTTTTCAATTTCTCTGTTTTTGAAGTTGGCTGGTTTGACGCACACTGCTGCAGGCCAAAAAAGTTGTTTTTCTTTCGTGCTGAATTTCCAGGGTTTTCTATGTGTTTTCTATTTACTATAGAAGCATAAAATGATGTCAAAAAAAAAGAAAAAAGCTTCTGCTAATAAAATTTTGGTCTAACTGCTCCTCTTTCTCCCCTTTGAATTGAAACTTGCTTTTAAAAAGAAAACAAACCACACGGTTTGGCATGTCTGTGTGACCATGCATTCGGGTACAGGAACCGGTGGTCAATATTCCCCTCCTGCATGCATAGGAAATTAAGGTATAAAAGTAGATAGGCAGTTTCCAGAAGAACTTTTGCTGTTGGGCTCTCTTTATGTGCAAGGCTGCTGGTTTTGAGGTGTATGCTTACCTTTGCCACATCACAGAGAGAATGCTGGGCGTCCCCATTCTGGTCTCAGCTGCCTAAATGTACAAGGCCTCTGATATGTGTCCACAAGTGATGTTTTGGATGTTCGAAACACAGACAGTTAAGAGGTGATGGAGAAGCGTAACAGATAAATCTCTTTCAGGCGAGAGTACTGCAAGTTGTGGGATACTACCTATGAGCCTTGAGTCAAGATCTCCTTTGGGATGTGGTGTTGGTTCCTACCTCCCCTGTGGCTTTGCTGATGGCTGTTGTTTCATCCAGAGTGGAATGAGTAGGGTATCATTCTGCGCTGTGTTAGAAGCAGGAGGAGATTGCATCTAGTTGTGACAGTAAAAGTTGTTTTTCCCAGAGGGGCTGTTAAGAATCTGTGTTGGTTTTCTGCTTTGGGTTTTTTTTAAATGCTGTAAATATTCACTGCATTAGATTCCCATGTTTATGGCTATAAAGGAAGTATTAGTTCTTTTAGTCTAATCTCCAAGGAGAAATGAGTTGGTCAAATCTAGTTCCCAACATAATACACGGTGGTCTCTTCTCTGTAAAGCCATTTGGAGACATCAGGATTCTGGCAGAGTATGCTGAGAAAAGCCTGGGATTTGTCACGGATGTTTCTAGAGGCTGGCACTTCAGGTGACATTGCTTTTAGAGTGCCAGAAGCCCATGGCAGGGGAATTGGGCAGATGTGCTGCAAAACGAGACACCACAGTTGGGTTGGAAAGCATATTTTTGGATTAGAAAATCAGTATTTGGATCAAAGAAGAGGAAAGAGGAAACAGATTATTTCAGTGTAGTTTCTCACTGGTTATGTTGGGACCTGCTAATCAATATCCTTGTTTTTCACCCCCTTTTGGTGAGAGACTTGATCAAAACATGACTGGATGCTTAGAAAGCAAACTTTAGAAACATGCCATCAGAAATGGGGCTAAGATGCTGCCCTGTGAGGAGAACCATTGCACTATATTCCGCAGCTAAGCATGTTTTCTGGTTGGTTCTGGTTTTCTGGTGCTTGGCAAAGAAATAGGGTAGCTGTGCCACTGCGTGGGCATGCATCAGCTCAGCCTGACATGAGCTTGGAGATGCTGTGGCCCCTGCTTTATGGGAGAGGGTAAATGTGCCCAAGGAAACCTCTTGATTGCTGTTATCTTCTGCAGCAAGAGGTACAGCAGTGTGGCTGCAGAGAGGATGCCAACATGGGCATAGGTAGAGTCAGCAGTACCAGCACAGCTTCTCTAAGCACAACATAGCCATGGTTTCTGCCAGGATGCTACATGTACCGTGGGTCTTTGTCTTGAAGTGCTCTCCCACTGTACCTGCTCTCTTGATGCTGCTAAGGCTGAGCTTTCCGAGCAGTACTTGGGGCGGCCTGGCTCCAACTTCTGCCTTCCTGCTGCTACCTCATGTGCTTCCCTTCCCCTCCTCCTCTTACATTTTACTCATCTACTTCAGTTTGTTTCTTGTTAAACTACCCTGTGTTCTATTTAACTATAGCTCCAGTACTTGCACCCACCCCCTACTTTGTTTTTCAGCTCAGCCTTTTGAAAAGAACTGCTTTGTGTTTTCAGCATTAATTTGTATTTCTTTTCTGTTGGTCGGATTTCACTGCACTTCATTAAGTTTTAGAGTGAAACTGGAGTCTGGCAAAATGAAGGGAAGAGCCTTGAAATGTGTCTTCCCTTTAGGATGGAAAAAACCTAATTGGAGCTTTTACCTGTATGTTTCTTAGGAATCCTTTTCCTCGCTTTGTTGATAAGGAGCTTACATTTATGCAGGAGCTTTGATCCAAGTGCCATACAGAGTGCGCAGAGATCTCTTCATCTGTCACTGAGGCACAGCGACTGCGTAACAGTGCACAGACCCACTGCAAAATTGCTCAGGGCAGGAAGCACTGAATGCTTCACCCGGTTTGATGTTGCAAGGGAACTTAAAGGAATAGAAGGCGGTTACTGTAGCTGGAGGCAAACCAGAGCACCTGCACGTAGAAAGTACCAGGAAGGCCTTGGGGACATGAGAAAGTCCCAATATCCTCTCCAAAAAATGGTAACTTAATTAATGCAGTCCTTTTCTCTAGCAACAGGCAGAGTTACTGCCTTAGTACCTCCCAAGAGGAAAAGAAATGCCTCCTGTGGCACTACGTGGCTGTATCTGCATCTGGGGAGGATTTACTACAGTTGAGTTTCGTTTGGCCAGTGTTATAGTTTAAACCAGAAGCAGTAGTTCATGTGTCAAGAAGCAAACCAAAGCTCTTCCAAACTCCTCTTTTTCAGATTGGGTAAATCACATCTTTCTCCCTCAAGATAACAAGACCATTTCTC